TAAAGAAATTATAATTTTGAAACAAATTCCATGAAGAATTTGGACTCAAAGACAACAATATCAGCCTCACAACACAATTTACCAAGTATAGAGTGATGTTTAGATAGATAATCCCAGAAGGCATCCTTATTACGTAGCAAGATAGGAAGTACAAGGTAGACTCGATAGAAAAGGCACAAGAATTTTACAAAAAATTATCTCTCACAGGAAGAAGAGCAAGAGAGAGTAAAGAAGAATCAGAAAGCAAAAGTCAAGAGGAAGATCAGTCATGAAGAAACAGAAAGGGAGAGAGAGATAAGAAAAGTACAGGAAAGAGAGTGAGAAGAAAAAGAAGGAGTGAGAGGGAGAGTAAGAAGAGAGACAAGAAATACTAAGAAAAAACAGCGATTGCGGTAGAAATGGAAGAGGCACTAAAGCTCTTCTCAGTGAACATAAATGGTTTAAACTCACCCAAAAAAAGAACACAAATTTACACAAAATTAAAGAAACTCGAAGCAGATGTGATAGGCCTCCAAGTGGTACACATTAAAAAAGTTTTTCAGAAGCTATTAGAAAATGGATGATGAATTGGTAATGTTACAATACAGATCTATGGAGTTTGCTCTGAGACTGAGAGGCCTGAAGGAAAATAGCAAAGAAAATTTAAAAGACATTTGTGCTGATGTTATGGCTGAGATAATTAAAGAAAGACCAGAAGATGTGGCAATCCAAATTGACAAAATTTACAGGGTTACTTCCTGGTTGGCAAAACAAAGACAGCTGCCACGAGATGTGGTGATTTATTTCACATCTAGGAGGATCAGAAATGAAATTTTACAAGCTTCTTACAATAATAAAGTTCAGGTGGCTGGGCAGGAGGTGGTGGTTTTGAAAGAGATTCCTCCAAAGATGTTGAGGAGCAGGAAACACTTTGGCTTTTTGGTAAATGAGCTGAGAAATCAACAGGTGCATATAGATGGGACGTTCCAATTGGTCTAATAGTGACTTATAAAGGAGAAAGATAAACACAGTTTGGAAGGCAAAAGATTTTTATGTAATGTGTTACAGGCTGGATACCCACCCTCACCAGGGGGGGGGAAGGAAGAAAATGGAGATGTTACAACAAGAAAAAGATGGAAAACAGATACAAACCTACGCTGCAGCTGCAGCTGGAGGAATTATTATGGAAGAAGATTTGGATCTTGGGGGTTTACCCCCAACTTTGGAACCACCTAAGAAGGGAGAGCCGAAAGCACAACAACTGACCCGATCAACTTATAAAATGGAACAACAACAACCAAAAGGGCAACAATCTCAAGATTCACCTCAAGAAGTTCAAAAACAGAAGCAGTGGGGGGTAGCTAGGCCGAAGACTAAGGTGGAGGAGGAGCTTCAGCTGATGCTCACAGGCTTCGAAAGGCTAAAGATGGCAACTAAAATTCTTATCTTGGAATGTTAATGGCCTAAACTCACCACAAAAAAGAAAGAAAGTATTTCACTACTTGAAACAATTTAACAATGATGTTATTTGCTTACAAGAAACCAAGGGCATGAGTGACCGTGTGCAAGGCATCCCAATCCAGAAAGGGTCACAACTGGCAGATCAGGTGAACCTGATAAAAAGCCCCCCTGGCCACAGCCGTCACATGCTCTTCTAAAGACAGACGTGCATCCAGGAGGACGCCCAGATTGTGAGCCCTCACTGTGGAGGGCAGAGATTCACCCCCAATAGTCAGCGATGGCACCAGCTGACTATATCGGGGCGCTGGAAGCCACAGCCACTTGGTCTTGGCTGGATTGAGCCTGAGCCTATTTCTCCCCATCCAGACCTGCACGGCCTCCAGGCAGCGGGACATCACATCAAGGGCATCGTTGGGGTGGTCTGGGGTGGAGATGTACAGCTGAGTGTCATCAGCGTACTGATGGACTCTCACCCCAAAACCACGGATGATCTCACCCAGCGGCTTCACATAAATGTTGAACAGAAGGAGCGAGAGGACTGACCCTTGTGGCACCCCCTAATCGAGGTGTCTCGAGATCAACCTCTGCCCCCCTATCAACACAAACTGCGAGCGGTCGGAGAGGAAGGAGGAGAACCACCGTAGCATGGTGCCTCCTATTCCCAACCCCCTCAACCGCTGCAGCATGATACCATGGTCAATGGTATCAAAAGCCGCTGAGAGATCTAACAGGACCAGGACAGAGGAGCAACCCCTGTCCCGAGCCCTCCAGAGATCATCCACCAACGCGACCAATGCCGTTTCCGTGCTGTACCCCTGCCTGAAGCCCGACTGGTACGGGTCCAAATAAGTAACTTCATCCAGGTACCGGGGAAGTTGTCATGCCACCACACTCTCAACAACCTTCGCCACAAAGCGAAGGTTGGAGACCAGATGATGATTAGCTAAAATAGCCGGGTCCAGGGATGGCTTCTTGAGGAGGGGCCTCACCACCGCCTCTTTCAAGGCGGCGGGAAAGGCACCCTCACTCAAAGAAGCATTTATAATCCCCTGGAGCCAGCCTCGTGTAACCTCCCGGGAGGCCAGTACCAACCAGGAGGGACACTGGTCCAATAAACATGTGGCAGCACTAATCCTGCCCAGAATCCTGTCCACATCCTCGGGAGTCACAGGATCAAACCCTTCCCAGATAACATTCTCAAGACCTGCCCCGGTCTCCTTCCCTGGACTCACCCAGTCGGAGTCCAGGCCTTCCCGAATCTGAGCGACTTTATCATGCAGGAATTGTACAAAATCCTCAGCTCGACCCTGCTTTATTTATTGTACATTTATTAGATGTTTAGCCTTTATTAGCCCTTTTGAATAACTCGAGACAGCAAATGTACATAATACTCTTTCCTTTTTCTCTCTGTGAGGTGGGTTGGGCTGAGAGAGAGGGACTGGCTCAAAGTCATCCAATCAGCTTTCATACAGAATAAGAGAGTTGGAAGGGACCTTGGAGGTCTTCTAGTCCAACCCTCTGCTCAAGCCATTCCAGACAAACAGCTCCTGTCTCTTCTTAAAAGCCTCCAGTGATAGACGTCCCAAAGGTGCCTTTTCAAGAGGCAACTGGACTTCCTTGTTTTTTTATTTGAAGACGTTTCGCTTCTCATCCAAGAAGCTTCTTCAGCTTCTTGAACGTCTTCAAAGAAAAAACAAGAAAGTTCAGTTGCCTCTGGAAAAAAAAGAATCTTTGGGACAACCATCACCTGGATGCCTGAGAATCTCGACAGACTTTTAGCTATACAATTTGGGATGAACACCCTTGGAATGGTGTGGGAGTTAGGAATGGATTTCCAGAGGAAAAATTGCAGACTACAGAAACCAGGAGCACCGCTCAGGTGACCCTGAGGACACAGATCAACCTCTAAGTGCTTCAAGAACCCTCCAAAAGGATGCAAATGACCAGCTGCCTGCAAGGAATATAAATCCTCCCATTCCTCACCATCCAGTCAGAGCTGAAGAAGCTTCTTGGATGAGAAGCGAAATGTTTTCAAAATAAAAAACAGGAAGGTCCAGTTGCCTCTTGAAAAAAGCACCTTTGGTTTGTTTCTATTGGGCATAACTACGGACTGCACAGTATCAGAGAATAAATTGACTTTGAACTTAATATCAGCAGCTAGGCTGCTGGTAGCTCAATATTGGAAGAAGGACTCTTTGCCTACTATTGAAGAGTGGATATTGAAAGTAACAAACCTAGCAGAAATGGCGAAAATCTCAGCGTATTTGAAGGACCGCACGCAAGAAAGATACGTATCGGAATGGAGAAGATGGATTGATTATATTCAAAATAAGTATCAGACAAGAAAATATCAAATAGCTTATGAATGAATGTTAGTATTAGAAGTATTAGGTTATCTATAGTGGAGTTAAGGTTTCAGGGGGGGAGTTAGTACTTTGAGGATAAGTAGATTAATCTAGTTTATGATTGATTAAATGAAATACCTTGTATTTTGCTCTGGGAAGTCTGGGGGGAGGGGGGGATGAGGGGGGGAAAGGGTGGGGGGAACATGGGGGGAAGTTTTTTGTAAAACTTTTCAATTAAAAAAAAAGAAAAAAGCACCTTTGGAACAACTATAACCTGGATGACTGAGAATCTCTATAGACTCCAATGATGGTGCACCCACAAATTCTGGGGGGCAAATTCTTTCACTGATTGTTCTCACTGTCAGGAAATTTCTCCTTAGTTCTAAGTTGCTTCTCTCCTTGCTTAGTTTCCACCCATTGCTTCTTATTCTGACTTCAGGTGCTTTGGAAAATAGGTGCCCCCCTCTTCTTTGTGGCAGCCCCATAAATATTGGAAGACTGCCATCATGTCACCCTTACTCCTTCTTTTGACTAGACTAGACAATTCCTGCAACCGTTCTTCATATGTTTTAGCCTACAGTCCCCTAATCATCTTGGTTGCTCTTCTCTGTACTTTCCAGAGTCTCAACATCTTGTTTACATCATGGCGATCAAAACTGGATGTAATATTCTAAGTGTGGCCTTACCAAGGCCTTATAAAGTGGTATTAACACTTCACAGGTTCTTGATTCTATCCCTCTGTTAATGCAACCTAGGACTGTGTTGGCTTTTTTGGTTAATAATGTTAGGGCCAACAGATGCAGCATTTTTTTTTTTAATTTGATTTATATGCTGCCCTTCTCCAGAGACTCAGGGCGGCTTACAATGCGTTAAGCAATAGCCTTCATACTTTTGTATATTTATACAAAGTCAGCTTATTGCCCCCACAATCTGGGTCCTCATTTCACCTACCTTAGAAAGGATGGAAGGCTGAGTCAACCTTGAGCCTTGGCGAGATTCGAACCTGCAGTAATTGCAGGCAGCTGGTCTTAATAACCAGCTTAATAACAGGGTGCCTTAGACCACTGTACTATCATTTGACCAGAAAGAGCGGGGAACAAAATGTACACAAGGTAGAAAGCTTACAAAAGTACACAGGCAGTTACAGAAGCTCCGAGTCTAACTTAAATGGCAAGACCAGCCAGGCACCATGTTGGCCCTCCCGCCTTACAAGCGGACTCTCTCTCTCTCTCACCGTTCGTCGTTGTAAGGTCTCCGCAAGGACGATCGGCGGTCCTGCTCATAGCGCAGCTGCTCGTGCTGCCGCCGTAACTCCTCCCGCTCCCAGTGGATGCGCTCCTGCTCCCTCCGCCGCTCGTGCTCGATGCGCATCCGCTCCCGCTCCAGCCGTTCCCGCTCCATCCGCTCCCGCTCCAGCCGTTGCCTCTGGAAGTGCAGCCGGTCCCGCTCCCTTTGCAGCCGCTGCCTTTCGTCCCACTCGGTGGTCTCCTGTGAGTGCTGGTCCCGCTCCTTCCGCTCCCGTTCCCTGCGTTCACAAATGGGAGAGGCGGTTTGCATGGGGAAGACGGCAAGGCTGAGGGTTAGCGTTCCCCAAATTGTTGGCTTTCAGATATCGGCGGGGAGCGATAGGAACTGATCCCTCCTCTCTGGAAGATACCATCGCCTCTGCAGTGGGCTTGTAGCAGAGTACAGGTAGTCCTCGACTTACAACAGTTTGCTTAGTACTGTTAAAGTTACAACGGCCCTGGAAAAAAGTGACTTATGACCATTTTTCACACTTATCACTGTTGCAGCAGCCCTGTGGTCACATGATCAAAATGCGGATGCTTGGCAACTGACTCACATTTATGACGGTTGCAGTGTCCTAAGGTCATGGGATCCCCTTTTGTGACCTTCTGACCAGTAAAGTCAACGGGGGAGCCAGATTCACTTAACAGCCGTGTTACTGACTTAACAACTGGAGTGATTCACTTAACAACTGCGGCAAAGAGGGTCGTAAAATGAGGTAAAAACTCATTTATCAAATGTCTTGCTGAGCAACATAAATTTTGGGCTCAGTTTTGGTCGTAAGTCAAGGACTACCTGTATTCACACTTTCTCAGATTTAAAGTCTACATTTGACCTTGAGTGACATGCAAAGGACCATACCCCAAGAACAGAACAGGACTAGTCCCTGACTTACAACTACTCAGAGTTAAAGCTGAAAAAAAAGTGACTTATGATCATCCTCACACTTACAACCGTCACAGCGTCCCCATGTTCACATGATCAAAATTCGGGCGCTTGGCAACCGGCATGTATCTACAACGGTTGCAGCATCCTGAGGTCATGTAATTGCCATTGGCAACCTTCCCAGGGGGCTTCCAACAAGTAAAAACCATGGGGGGAAGCTGGATTTGCTCAATGGCCGTGTGATTTGCTTAACTACAATGATTCACTTAACGACTGTAGCAAAAAAGATTCATAAAATCAGGTGTGGTTCACTTAACAACCACATCAGTTAGCAACCAAAATTCCACTCCCAATTGTGGTTGTAAATCGAGGATTAATTATAGAGCCGAGACAAAATGATCCGAAACAGTTCAATTAATTCAACACATTTTGGGTGCTGAAGAAACAACGAACGTGGGACGAGAATAGGATCTGCTAAGATCTGGATTGATTTGATCTGTTTCAGAGTCGATCTGAACAAAATTCGTGCATTAAGGTAGCTCCAAAGAAGAACCAAGCACGCTCAAGCACAGAGCTTGGAAAATACCAAATTTAATGAACCAGAAACTCTTGCTCTAAAGAACAGGTCTCCAAACTTGGCTGCTTTAAGACTTGAGGACTTCAACTCCCAGAATTCCCCAGTCAGCACGGCTGGCTGAGGAATTCTGGGAGTTGAAGCCCGCAAGTCTTAAGTTCTGCTCCAAAGTGATAGGAGCTAAATCCAAGCTTATTTTCAAGAATCTAAACTCTAGCCATGGCTAGAATGCGAGATGTTGACAAACCATTCTGGAGGACAACGACTGAGGCCTTCTATGTCGTGAGAGGTTGCTCTGAATCTAAAACCAGGCAAGGCCTTGGGAGTAAAGATAAGTAAAGATAAAGAAACATTGCTTTTTTTCCCCCCCAATTAAAAGTATGAAATTGATTTGTTTATGGCTCCTGCGTCTGATCGTGGAGAAATTCCAAGTCTTACTAAAAAAGCAATTAGCTAGATATAATGTTAAGAAGCATTTATGTTGCGGCCGTTTAGATTTAATTTTGTTTAATGGCATGGCTGGTATTGCTTTTTCACATTGCTCCATTGTAATCTAGGACTATATTACGAAGGAATTTTTTTTTTCCTTTTAACAGAAAAGGAGGAGAAAAGACATGTGAATCTAAATTGTCGCCGGCTTCAGCAACTTTTAAAGCGTTAATTTTAATTAGCTTTGCTTGTAGAAGAAATTATATTGATTGACAATAGCTTTACATTTACTGGTTTATCCTGCTGGATTATAAAATTTAATTTTTATTTTGTATTCTTAGGGCAAATGCTTCAGTCATACCATTGCAATCATCCTAGGAAAAGCAGATCTGTTTTTAAGCTTTTAACACTTTTCTTGCCACAATCTCAACTCAGGGGTCACTCTCTGTGCACTCAGTGAAACATACCAGAGGATAGAGGACATTTTAAGACTTCAATGTTAACACAGGTAGTCTGCGGCTTACAACGGTTTGTTTAGTGACTGTTTGAAGTTACAAAGGCATTGAAAAGTGACTTATGATTATTCAATCACACTTATATGACCGTTGCAGCATCCCTATGGTCAAGTGATCAAAATTCAGACACTTGGCAACTGGCTCATATTTATGAAGATTGCAGCATCCCGGGGTCAAAGCAGGGAATTGTGAGTTCAAGTCCTGCTTTAGCCATGACAGCTATTGGGTGACTTTGAGCCAATCAACAGAAGACGGCGAGTTCTAGTCCTGCCTTAGGCATGAAAGCTGGTTAGGTGACTTTGGGCCAATTACCAGCAGACGGTGAGTTTTAGTCCCGCCTTAGGCATGAAAGCCAGCTAGGATAGCCAATCACCAGGAGATGGGGAGTTCTAGTCCCACCTTAGGCATAAAAGCTGGCTGGGTGAATTTGGGCCAATTACGAGCAGACAGTGAGTTCTACTCCCGCCTTAGGCATGAAAGCCAGCTAGGATGGCCAATCACCAGGAGACGGTGAATTCTAATCCTGCCTTAGGCATGAAAGCCGGCTGGGCAGCTTTGGGCCAATCAGCAGGAGACTGTGAGTTCTAATCCCGCCTTAGATCTGAAAGCTGGCTGGGTAACTTTGGGTCAGTCGCTCTCAGTCCAACCCACCTCACAGGGTTGTTGTTGTGGGGAAAATAGGAGAAGGAAGGTGTGTAGGATAGGTTAAGCACCTTGAGATATTTGTAAATATAATAAAGGTGTGATATAAATAAAATGAAAAAAAAATTAAAAATCCAGCACGCTGAACCCACCTGCTTTGATTAGGAGAAACGAAAGAAGAGAATGTGGAAGTGAAGTGAGTATGTCAAATGAATGGGGAGTTGCAAATTCGGAAGGGAATATGCAGGTCATGGAGAGAGAGCGGGAAAGAGTGGGAAAGGCTTCTTCCAATATTAATAATTACGTGTCACATGCAGGGGAAAAAAAAGACCCCTGACAACATTTAATCAAGAGAAAGCGCTCCATCAGCCTGCTGACGTACGACCCATTCAGTGGGAAAACACACCGTGCGCCTACATAATAAAGAGCCCTTTAAAATATCTGCTTGGAACAAGGAGAGAAACATGGAAGATTTCACTCAGCAACTGAATTACGCCCAAACAGAGAGCTGAGCCGGGGAGGAAAGTGACAGCTGCATAATAGATCATGTCAACAGACCGCAGATTCATGCCAGGATAATCCACTCTGGCTGTGGCAGGGAGGCAGGAGGGTTTCAAAGAAGTGGGGGCAAAGAGCTCAGCGTGGGACGGGAGCCTGCTGAGCTACGACAAGGACGCAGGATGAAAAACAAAAAGGGTTTTGAAAAACCGGTCCAGCGCTATAGCAATATCACTTCGATTTATATACTGCTTCACAGTGCTTTTACAGCCCTCTCTAAGCGGTTTACAGAGTCAGCCTATTGCCCCCAACAATCTGGGTCTCCATTTTACCCACCTCGGAAGGACGGAAGGCTGAGTCAACCTTGAGCCTGGTGAGATTTGAACTGCTGAACTGCAGCTAGCAGTCAGCTGAAGTAGCCTGCAGTACTGCACTCTAACCACTGTGCCACCTCGGCTTGTTACCTGCTATACAGGTTAACAGAAGGCAAGTCTCTCCTCCATTTTTGAAGTGAGCCAGGAATGGTGACCTCAGCAATGTCCTTTTTTTTCCAAGGACTCTTGAGAGGAGATCAAAGTGATCAAAAGAAAGGATCACCGGCAGACAGCCCAACTGACAGCTCACCAGGCGAATGGCTGGTTTCAAACAGGTTGTTTGTTCGCAGGGGTGTCTAACCTTGGCCACTTTTAAGAGTTGTGGACTTCAACTCCCAGGATTCCCCAGCCAGCACAGAAGTAGAAGTGGGAGTAGAAGTCCGCAAGTACACTGCAACCGTCATAAATATGAGCCACTTGCCAAGTGTCTGGATTTTGATCACATGACCTTGGGTGTCAGATTCGTGTATGTGCCATTCTTCAGGGGAAAGGGGGATTTTTAATCACTTTCTTTACTTACTGCTTTCTTTCCTATGTATCCTGCATCCTGCAATTTACTGATTTATAATCTTTAGCCTGGCGCCTAAGTGCCCTGGCATTTTTGCACCTTTTGGGGAATGTAAAGGGAGGGAGGGCCATGTGGGATTCATCGGATAACCCTGTTAGGAAATGATAATTACCTAACTTTTTGGGTTGGCAATATATAAACCCTCAATATAGCTTCAAGACTGTATTGCTGTATTGCATCATACTGTGTCCTGATTGGTTAGCTCTGAAGCCAATGTCCTTAAGAGGGAGCTTGAAACATGGTTTGTTTCTCTTTGCTGATCATTACTGCTCTTTGCTATGTTTGCTACTGTTTATTGTGTTTATTGTGTATGACTACGACGACTGGTAAGAAGACTTCGTTATTGGAACATCCCTGGACTATTGTTTTACTATCTACTACTTTATCTGTGTATGACCTGGACTGTTTATTGGACTGTGCCTTATTACTATTTCCTAAAAGTAAACACAACTCAGTGTATCTGTGTGTTGACTGTGTTTTATTCGTACTTACTCTCAATCGCTTTCAGGGGCACACCCTTGCTACTTAAGGGTTACTCTGCGAATTCCTTAACAAACCCTGCGAAAGTTCCCTTATCTTTTCTCAGAGCGGCCAGTACAATAACATCTTCGCACCTGCGGATTGGCTGAATCCACATTGGACTGTTGGGAGGGGTTTCTAATTCCTTTATTCTAACTGTACGGCCTGAGGGGACCTCAGAGCCTGCTTTCTTTTCGCCCTGCTATCACCCGCTGTTCAATAAAAGGTTCCTTTCGAAATGCCAAGTTTCAAGAGTCTTCATTTTCTTGAATAAGGGAGAGAGGCCGGGTCTTACAGTAGGGCTCCTGCAACAATCCCAAAGTGTGAAAACTGGTCATGTCACTTTTTTCAGCGCTGTTTAACTTGGAACGGTCACTAAGCAAACGGTCGCAAGTCCGATTCTACGTAATGGCAACTGTTTGGCATGCCAAGATGTGAAATTAGGCTAATGTTTAAAGGTTTGTGATTTTTGGAAAGAAGAATGTTCTTTCCAAAAAAAAAAGAAAAAAAAGAGCGGGGGTCGGAACGTGGCGAGGGAGCCAACCTCAACCCACCTCCTCCGTTCTGTCTCTCGGATCTCTCGCTCGCGTTGCCTCTGGCGTTCTCGCTCGCGCTGCTCCTTGATTTTATCAAATGACAGGATGTCTTGCTTCTCTTTGCTCTCCGACTTGCGGTCCTGGCTTTTGGTGCTCTGCAGCGAAGCAGAAAAGAAGGTGGCTAGAGTAGCCATGTAGCGCATGCGTTTTTTACTCTCGGGGCCTTCAACGCCCAAGCACTGCAGGTTCAAGAGGGATGGGAGGCAGCGAGGAGCTGGATCCCCAAGTGGGAAGGAGGGTGTCCCAGAGGAAGATCCAGATATTATGTGTGAGAGAAAGAGGGTAAAGACAGCCCCACCCTAGTAGTCCCAAAGGTGCTTTTTTAGGAGGCCACTAGACTTTCTTGTTGTTTCTTTGAAGATGTTTCACTTCTCATCCAAGAAGCTTCTACAGTTCTGATTGGATGGTGGGGAATGGAAGGATTTATATTCCTTGCAGACTGCTGGACACTTGCATCCTTTTAGAGGGTCCTTGAAGCACTTGGAGGTTTATCTGTGTCCTCAGGGTCACCTGAGTAGTGCAAATGGTTCCTGTAATCTGCACTTTTTCCTCTGGAAATCCATTCCTAACTCCCACATCATTCCAAGGGTGTTCATCCCAAATTGTACAGCTAAAAGTCTGTGGAGATTGTCAACCATCCAGGTCACGGTTGTCCCAAAAGTGTATTTTCAGGAGGCAATTGGACTTTCTAGTTTTTTCTTTCAAAGAAGTTTCTTCAACAAGCTTCTTGGATGAGAAGCAAAATGTCTTCAAAGAAAAAAACAAGAAAGTCCAGTTGCCTCCTGAAAAAACACCTTTGGGGCAACCATGACCTAGAGGACTGAGAATCTCTACAGACCCCTCCCAAGCAGTTCTCAGAGTATATTGTAGATCAGCGGTAGACAACCTTGGCAATTTGTAAGACTTGTGGACTTCAACTCCCACAATTCCCCAGCCAGCCATGCTGGCTAGGGAATTCTGGGAGTTGGAAGTCCACAAATCTTAAGAGATTGGACACCCTTGTTTGTAGATGTAGAATAGAGGCTTCAGTCTAGCAAGAATTTGCCCAGAGGCATGAAACAATAAAAAATTCGGCTTGGAAGAATGACCACGTGCTATTCTTGGTTTGGAGCCTGACGCTCAGTGCCTTTCAGCATTTATAGAGGAGCTGCCCAAATTCTATGGGGTAAAATCCATCGGTGGTGCTCCCATAATTCATGAAGGCAGTAAACATAGGGTTCATGACTGCTCCCTGGCCCTCCGCTGGCCTCCCTGCTCAAAATGAGCAGCCCACTTTAGATGGGGTGACCTTCACATTTTGGTGGGCTCCCATAATCTGGAGCCAAGAAAACCAGTCCTGGAATTATGGCCGATCCCAAATGCTCTGGCAGAAGGGGCATGATCCGGATCCCGTCTGCCAAGGAATTGCAGCTGGTGGAGTCCAGAAGGGCCTTTTCTGCTATGGCTCCCATCCTCTGGAATATCGTGCCCCCCCCTCCCATGAGATTCACCCTACCCCCTTTTAAGAGCCTTAAAACCTTTGGCAATTAGCCTGGGGCCCTTATAGGGACATTTTGAAGGTGGTTAGTAGCCTAGTGCAATAACTCACCTCCATCCCATCTATGCATTAGTTCGTTTTATCCATTTTAATGGTAATGGCAAAGTTTGATCTATCTGTCTGTCTGTCTAATAAAGGTGAATATTTGTAGCTCAGGGTTGACATAGAGGGTTCCTTGGTACTCTCTGAGCTTGCTTGTTTTCTTGACCCAAACTAGATAATGATCCAACTAAGGACCATCATCAGTGCCAGAAAAGAGCAAATCCCACATTCCCTTTTAACACTGATGATGTTACCTAGTTTGGATAATGAAACGTCTGCAAGAAAACAAGCAAGCTCAGAGAGTGTCAAGGACCACTTATCCGTCTCTCCGTCCATCTATCTGATTTCTATAGCCGCCCATCTCAGCAAGTGACTCCGGGCAGCTCACAATTCAAAAACATATATTAGCTTTTAATGTCTGACCTTTTAATCCTGTAATTGTTTTATTTTATTTATCTATTTATTTATTTATTTATTTATTTATTTATTTATTTATTTACTTAGTAAACTTATGTGCCACCCATCTTGCCTAAGGGCAACTCTAGGCAGCTTACAATCAATACAAATGATAAAACATTATAGTAATATTAATGCCAACATTGACTTTTAAAATTAACCAAGATGGCAAAGAAGGGAGGAAGATGCATGTGGGAGGAGGTGGGAGCCTATTTTAGGTTTATCTTAATTACGACACTGTCGCTTGGTAGAGACAGACAAATTTAATAAGTAAATAAATATATTATCATTTCACCAGTTTTGATGGAAATCTACTTCCCTGCCTCAGCTTAAAAAGCAGAATTATAATAAACGATGCTTGAAAAGTTAACCTCTGGACCCAAATTTCATCAGCTAGGAAGGCGGAAATAATGGACGTGGTCTTGACCCTTTCCAGCTTGTCTTGTTTCGCAGACCAGAAGTAAAACCAAAGACTTACTCTCTCTTTGGAGGTGGATGCGGTTTTCACGCTAATCACCGGCTCCCCTTTGGATTTATCCATAACAACTGTCCGCTCGGTTCCTCGGCTTCCTAGAGTGGCACAAAATGATACCGTGTTTCTCAACTTTTCAGATGACAACGTGACAATTTCAGTTTCCAGAAATTCATGCATTTGTGGACTTCGCTGGCTGGGGAATTCTGGGAACTGAAGGCCCGGCATTTTGAAGTTGCCGAGCTTGAGAAACACTACCCAAGGAGACACCTTGGATCTCCAGAAGTGTCCATCGGGCAGATCAAAGATTTCAAATGCAGAAGAACACATTAGAATAGAATAACAGGGTTGGAAGGGAACCTTGGAGGTCTTCTAGTCCAACCCCCTGCTTAGGCAGGAAACCCTATACCATTTCAGACAAATGGTTATCCAATCTCTTCTTAAAAACTTCCAGTGTCCACAAGTTCTGGAGGCAAGTTGTTCCACTGATTAATTGTTCTAACTGTCAGGAATTTTCTCCTTAGTTCTAGGTTGTCTCTCTTTTTGATTAGTTTTCATCCATTGCTTCTTCTCCTGCCCTCAGGTGCTTTGGAGAATAGCTTGACCCTTTTTTTTCTGTGGCAGCCCCTGAGATTTTGGAACGCTGCTATCATGTCACACCTGGTTCTGCTACCATGTCACACCTTTTCATTAAACTAGACATACCCAATTCCAGCAACTGTCCTTTATATGTTTTAGCCTCCAGTCCCCTAATCATCTTTGTTGCTCTTCCCTTCTTCACTCTTTCCAGAGTCTCAACATCTTTTTTACATCGTGGCGACCAAAACTGGACGCAGTCTTCCAAGGGTGGCCTTACCAAGGCTTTATAAAGTGGTATCAACACTTCATGTGATCTCAATTCTATCTGTTTATTTTATCTGTCTAGAACTATATTGGCTTTTTTGGCAGCTGCAGCACACAGCTGGCTCATATTTAAATGATTGTCCACTAGGACATTCACATGAAGGAATCAGCTCACCATCAGCCCTGAAACCATATTCCACCGAAAGTTTTCATTACCTGATTTAACAGATCGCGAACGTCCAGATGACCCATTTTTCTGCTCTTCTGTTCCTTTATCTTTCTTTTCATCTCCGCTCTCTTCCACTCTTTGAGGGTCTTCATTCTTGTCAGTTTTTTCTTCCTTAAGGTTGAGAGACCTACAAACAGATCAAAACAGCAGCTGAAGCTCTATCTGTCGTGCATCATAAATTGAAATTCATCACTTTGATCTCAGGAGGAAAAGAGCACCAGGTGATCACTTGCCAAAGTACAGTAAAGGTGGAGTTCAGATCTAAATCTGAAAAACAGCACGAAGGATACCAACCCAATCTCCCTCATACAAGTAGTCCTCAATGTACGACCACAATTGAGCCAAGAAGTTCTGTTGCTAAGTGAGTTTTGTACCATTTTACCATCTTTCTTGCCACAGTTGTTAAGTGACTCAACTGCAGTTAAGTTAGTAACACATTTGTTAAAGTGAATCTAGTTTCCCCATTGACTTTACTTGGCAGAAGGTCACAAAAGGGAATCACGTGGACAGTGCAACCGTCATTAATATGAGTCAATAGCCAAGTGTCTAAATTTTGATCACATGACCTTGGGGTTGCTGCGACAGTTGTAAGTGTGGGAAATGGTCGTAAGTCACTTTTTTCAGTGCCGCTGTAACTCTGAATGGTCATTAAATGAACTGTTGTAAGTCAAAGTTACAACTGCACTGAAAAAAAGTGATTTATGACTGTTTTTCACAGTTACGACTGCTGCACCATCCCCAAGGTCACATGCCATCAAAATTCAGATGCTTGGCAACTGATTAAGACAGTCGCAATATCCCAGGGTCACATGATCCCCTTTCACGACCTTCCGACAAGCAAAGTCAATGGGGGAAGCCAGATTCACATGACCACCAGATTACTAATTTATCAACTGCAGTGATTCACTTAACAACAGAGGCAAGGAAGGTCGTAAAATGGGGCAAAACTCACTTAACAAATGTCTCGCTTAACAATAGAAATTTTGGGCTCAGTTGTGGTCCTAAGTCGAGGACTACTTGTAATGCGGCCCAATTCCAGTTTATCCCCGTGGCCTTACTGACAAAGCCTGATTAGCACCTTAAAACCATAACCGTTTGAACAAGCCGAGATGAAAAGGCTGGCTCTCTTTAGAAGAGAGCCGCCTGAACGATGAAGCAAAAACAGTCCTGGTTTATTACTTTTCTGATTTGGAGTCGGAAGAATGCCGCCTGTCTTTTTCCTTCTTGCTTTCACTTTCTTTCTTCTCGGGTAACAGTTTTTTCCCAGCAGGTTCATTTTTGGCCTGGAATCAGACAAGGAAAAGGAGTGAGAAGAGCGGGAGAAAAATCAAACGGCAAGCAACCCTCCCTGTTCTGAATCGCAAGCAGGATGAGGCGTAGGAAAAGAAAAGCACAGTGCAATCATCTCCAAATGTTCCATAAGGAAAATCAAACATAAGAGGTGGAGGAATAGGGGAAGGTTTAAATTCTTCTCCGGGATGTTTCCTTTGATCTTAATGTGTGCTAAAATGTATGCAGAATAATTTAGCAGACTGTGGGGGGTCCTTGGTGCTCTCTAAACTAGGTTGTTTTCCTGCAGATGTTTCGTGACCCAACTAGGTAACACCATCAGTGTTAAAAGGGAGCGTTGAGATTCGCTCTCTTCTGGCACTGATGATGTTGATCCCTACTTGGATCATGAAACGACTGCAAGAAAACAACCAAGCTTAGACAGCACAAAGAACACTCCCCCACTCCTCCTCTCCACGAACCCCACTCCCTTTCAGCACTGATGTTACCTAGCTGGGTCATGAAAACATCTGCAAAAATACAATAACCCTGAGCTACAAATATTCTCTTTATCAACAATTCAGCAGAGTAACATTTCACCAATATTCTGCTGGTAGGGCTGGATCAAAGTAATCACTTAGACCAGTCTTCCTCAACCTGATGACCTCCATATAGGTTGGGACCAACACTCCCAGAGTTCCTCATTGGCATAACAGAGAGAATTCTGGGAATTGAAGTCCCAAAGAATCTGAAAGATCTCAGGTAGGGAAGACTATTTTGTTGTGGCTGGTTAAGAAGTCATCACCGGCTTCATATGCTATCTAGGGCTGATGGACCCATTTCTGGACCTTCCAGTCTCTTTCCTATTACTGCCATCTTATCTACTGCATGTCCCTTTCCTGGCTGGGACTGATGTTGGTTTCTCTCCTGGATGGGAATAAAGTAAGTCCTCAACTTACAACAGTTCATTTAGTGACTGTTCAGTTACAACAGCACTGAAAAAAGTGACGTATGACCATTTTTCACACTTACGACGGTTACGGCATCCCCATGGTCATGCAATCTAAGTTCAGATGCTTGGCAGCTGACTCATATTTATGACTGCAGCGTCCCCAGGTCACGTGATCAACTTTTGCGACCTTCTGACGAGCAAAGTCAGTGGGGATGCCATATTCACTTAACAACCGGGTTACCAATTTAATCGCTGCAGCGATTCCCTTAACAACTGTGGCAAGAAAGGTCGCAAACTGGGGCAAGATTCACTTAACCAACGTCTCCCTTTAAGCAGCAAAAATGTTGGGCTCAATTACGGTCGTAAGTCGAGAACGACTTGCGCATTTGGATTTCATCGCTGATGAAAACACTCACTCTTTCCACAGAAATCATCTTCCCGTGCAGCTCTGTCCTGTGGAGGTGGCTGATGCACTTGGTGGCTTCCTCAGACGAAGCCATGGTGACGAAGCCATAACAACGGGCCCCGGGGCTGCGGGCGTTTGTGACTACTTTTGCACCTACCACCTTCAATGAGAGAGAAATGAAGAAGAAGATGAGAAATGGGTTTACACATCTAAACACTACTAGCTGTTGTTTGTTTGTTTGTTACCTTCTGGGAGATAGCAATAGCACTTAGATGTATATACCGCTTCATACGTGCTTTGCAGCCCTCTTAAGCAGTTTAGAGACAGCCTCTTGCCCTTTCAATAATCTGGGTCCTCATTTTACCGACCTAGGAAGGATGGACGGCTGAGATGGACGCCGAGGTGGCGCAGTGGTTAGAGTGCAGTACTGCAGCTACTTCAGCTGACTGCTAGTTCAGCAGATCAGTGGATCAAATCTCACCGGCTCAAGGTTGACTCAGCCTTCCATCCTTCCGAGATGGGTAAAATGAGGACCCAGATTGTTGGGGGCAATTCATTTCATTTCATTTTTTCATTTTATTTGATTTATATACCGCCCTACTCCCGAAGGACTCAGGGCGGTGAACAGGCACAAGATAAAACACATAGAATACAAAAATTTAAGAGCAGAAGTAAAATCGAATTAAATCAGTTTAGCCCAAGACAAATTTAAAACCCCAGGTTAAGAACAAATTAAAATTTACATTAAAATATGCTATTTAGTATACTGTCTTTGGTGTAAGCCACCCAGAGTCCTCGGAGAGTGGGCAGCATAGAAATATGAATAATTTAAAAAAAAATCAACCTTGAGCCGGTCAGGATCGAACTGCCAAATTGCTGGCAACCGGCAGTCAGCAGAAGTAGCCTGCAATAACCACTGCGCCACCACGGCTCACGGAGATTTAACATGTAAATGAAGACTCAATCATCCAGGCCAAAAGTATCTAAAAAAGGTGATGTAACCTTTTTAGATAGGTTCTGGGAGAAGGCTTCACAGTATCCAAAGCAGAATAGTTAGATTCTGTAATAGCTTTGTACCATATAGTATCAACTTTGTTAACTCTCGGGACTCTTTTTTCCGCTACGTATTCTTAATCAGGGGTGTCCAACATTGGCAACTTTAAGACTTGTGGACTTCAATTCCCAGAATTCCTCAATCAGCCATGCTGGCTGGGGAATTCTGGAAGTTGAGGTCCACAAACCTTAAAGTTGCTGAGGTTGGAGACTTTTGTTCTAAATGGTCTGTGATTAATATATTTGTGTATGTATGTAGGCATGTGTCTGTGTGTGTGTGTGTGATACACACACACACAGAGGGAGGGGGATATGTATATGTGTGGGGCATGTATAGGTATGGATATGTATGTATGTTTGTTTGTTTGTTTTGAGAGCAGGCATCACAATTTCATTTTTTAATGTATGCCAGTGTGTTCACAGAAAAAAGTGACCATAAAGGTTATCTTATCTTTATTTAGCCATGGCTTATTAACTAAACCATGACAATCAACTAGGCTTTAAATCAGTGGTGAAATCCAATTTTTTTTTTACTACCGGTTCTGTGGCCGTGGCTTGGTGGCCGTGGCTTGATGGGCATGGCAGAGGAAGGATATTGCAAAATCTCCAATCCCACCCCACCCCACTCTGGGGCCAGCCAGAGGTGGTATTTGCCGGTTCTCCGAACTACTCAAAATTTCCGCTACCGGTTCTCCAGAACCTGTCAGAACCTGCTGGATTTCACCCCTGCTTTAAATCCTGTTTTCTAAGCCATAACCCATTCAGTGTGTTGTGTTTACTCCATACAGCAAGTCACATTATGGCTTTGTATCATGTGTGGAGCCATCCACTGCTTGTAGACATTTGTGGCTGTTCAGTCGCTAAGTCGTGTCCGATTCTTCAGAACTCCATGGACCAGTAGTGGGATTCAAATCCTGGCGCTACCGGTTCGCTATTGGGAGCACGTGGGCACACACGCTCGCTGAGCGCGCAATGCTTATGCACATGCGCAGAGCGTTTTTTATGACGTCTGGGTGAGTGGACGAAGCCTCCCGCCGCCACCACTACCGGTTCGCCTGAACTGGGGTGAACCGGTAGCAACCCACCCCTGCCATGGACCATAGCACACATACCCGCCCCCCAAAAAATATTAAAAAGTATTTTATTGGCAAACTTTACAATTGACAGGAAGGACACTTTTTTTTTGACCTCTTGATGCCCCCTGTATGTTAGATAATAAATCTTGTAATTCCTTCTTGGTTTTGTAGCATGGAATTTGGAGTTCAATGACTGAATTAGATTAACTGGTTAACTTCTCAGGACACAATTTGCAAGGGAGTAACTTTGCAAGTATCACATAAATCTGTCAGTGAGCATCCTTCTGTACCAAAGGCAGATGAATAATACCCCCCCAAAAAACCACACTTAAATAAAAATATGGAGCAACAGTGGCCAAAAACAACCCTTATGTAAGGTCCTCTTTTTTCTCTTCCCAAATTTAAAATTATTACTTTAATCAAAACTTTTATCTGGCAATATTGAGCTGACAAAAAGCTTTAGCATACCATTTTACTTCTAGTCACCTGCCAATAGGACATCTCTAATAAAATGGAACTTTGAGGAACTTCTAGCCTCTGAGTCTTCTTTCGTTGGGGGTGTTACTTGGAACCCTGACACCTACCTTGCCATATTTGCTAAACAGGTTCTTCAGATCAGTCGCTCTGGTCGAAGAGGAAAGACCACTGACCCACAGATTTCTGCCAGAGCTAGGAGTGGAGCGACCTATATTTGGGGGTGGGGGAGGGAGGGGAGAGGAGAGGAGAGGAGACATCAAACATGACAACGCACTCTGGGTTGAAAAATCCCTCCCAAATATTAAGCAGATTTCCACACACGCACTTCACGGTCTGTTTCTATTGCTCCCCTCTGGGAGGAGGTTTTGAAGTATTTCGAACAGGACTACCAGATTCTGTAACAGTTTTGTTCCCTAGGCCATCTGTCTGGTAAACTCTCAGGATTCCTTTTTCTCATCATGTACATGTACACATCCGAACTAGACTGTGGTGTTTCTGTGTGTCATAATTGTGTGTGTGTGTATGTGGATATATGCATAATGGTTATCTTTTGAGAACTGAATGCAATGAAATTTCATTTTAATGTATGCTGATTAGTGTATATTTAAAGTGACTATTAATAAAGTTCTATTCCTATTCTATCCTATTCTATTTTATCCCATCCCATCCCTGTTCCTATCCCTAATTCTATTCTAGTTTTGTTCTATTCATCATTTTTAAGGACCTTTTAACTTCAAATGGTCCCTAAACGAATGGTTGCAAGTTGAGGACTACCTGTAGCTATATGCATATATATATGGTCATAAACCTACCCTTCTCATCTTTGGAAGCACTTTTAGCCTCTGCATCCTCATTTGAGCTAAAGACGAGAAAGAAAAAAAAGATAAGAACATTATTCAACCAGAAAAAAGCCATCTGGAAAATGAACAGGCATGACAATGGGTACTATGATCAAATACCTACCAGAGAAAAACCAAAAAGAAAAAAGAATTGACCTTGACTAGGGAAGGGGCACAGTGGGTCTTTTTTTTTAAAAAAAATAAAAAATAAAAACCCCAAAGGAAAGTCTCCGTTGACCACCAGAGAACTAACTGCTAATCAGGAATACAAAGTTAAGAATGCAACCTTTTGGAAGATGGAGATGATTATATATATATATATGTATAAATAGATAGATAGATAGATATCTTTAAATGCTTTAAGAAAAAAAAGAACAGCCAAACGTTCTCCTACGGAAACAAACTGTGTAAAGACAACTTAAAAAAAAAAAAGAGAAAATCTACGTCGAAGGATAAGCTATCGTCTCGTTGGGGCCCTCAGCAGTGGGGGAGGGGGGTTTCACTGGAAGGCATCACAGCACATTTTTGGCATTCATAAATAACCAACGGGCGAGAAAAAAAGACAGCATCTGGTCTAAAACGGAGAGAAACAAACCTCGTGTTCTGATCACCACCCTCTGGGGCAGAGGACTCTCTAGTGGAAGAGGGCTCCTCCTCAACATTAGCCTTCACTTCCATCTTCTCGGCCTCTGGACTAACCACTTGAGGACCTGTGTCCGATTCCGCGGTTTCCTCACTACTGGCTTCCAGAGTTTGGGCTTCTTTGCTACTCTCACCACCTCCACCTCCACCTCCACTCCTGCTCTCTACCGCTAAAGAGTCCGAGTCCGGTTTGGCTTCCTCAACTGTCTGCTCGCTCGGCTCCCTTTTGGCTACCACTAAGAGCTTTGCATCATCCTGCTGGTTCTTGGCCTCAGCTGGGCCTGATTGGCTGTCTGTATCTACAAGGTCTTCGTCCGAGTGGGTGGGAGAGGCGGCGGCCAACATGTCTTCTTCTTCTCCTCCTCCTTCTTCTTCTTCTTCCTCCTCCTCCTCCTCCTCCTCCTCCTCCACGGCTTCCTGTTTGCCCGGCCATGAATTATTCGTTTCCTGCGCCTGCTCAGCTTCGGAAGTGTCTTCTTTAAGGGGCTCAGATTTACAAGTGTCACCCAAAATGTCGAGCACTTTCTCATTTTCTATGGATTTAACAGGAATAGAATGGCACAAGGTTTAATCACCAGGGAAACATAGCAAAGACAAATGCCGGACGGGCATGGCTGCCCGACTAACACCAAGAGCGTAGGGCTTAAAGGCTAACACAGAGATTGGAAAACCCTCTGGGCCAACCACATTCACACGCCTTAAAACCAACTGCAGTCTAACATGGCTATCAGAGCAGGGCCTGAAAGAGAGAAGGAAGAATAACCTTTATGCACAACGCTTCCCGGCGTGATCCTTGGCTGTCTTCACACAACTGCGACGCCTTTCCAATTCTTGCCGAGACTGGCTTCCAAGCGCGGCGGTGTGGTGTGCTTGTGCGGACGGGGATCAGTGCTTTTCGACGGTTCGGCTTGCGGATTTTACCAATATTCTTTTAAGGCGACTAAGTCCACATGTGAACAACTTCGGAAGTGGTTCGAAATACGTTTGGAGTCCAGAAAGCAAAGCGGAAGGCCTTCCGTGACCTTCCGTCTTCAAGTCTTCGCGTAGCCACTTAAAAAGATTTGATCCCTGCTTTGACATTATTCAACTGCACCTCTCTAGCCAAAGCTACCGTCCCAAAGCCCTGAGCGATATCACAGGATCTGCTTGGCACGTCTTAACGGCTCCTTTATATGCGGGGCCCGGCCTGCTCCCCGGTGAAGGGATCTTAAGCAAAATTATCATCTCAGAAGTCTGATGATTATTGTGCGATAAGAATCGAAGGTGCTCCCGCAGATCTGGTGATATGGCCAGATTTCCAATCTCTGTGGCTTTTCCTTTGGAGGCGTTCTGGACCGTGCACCAAGTTAGAATAATGGACTACAGCTACTTATGGAATAAAAACCAAAGAGAGAGTAACTAAAGGGACTGGTGTGCAAGACCTAGTGGAAAATGCACAGGAGGGGCAGAAGGTTTTTGAAATACAGTACCTGATTCCAAAGGAAACTCGTCAAGCTCCTATTAAGAATCACAAAAAAAAAAGGGGGTGTCAGGGCTCATCTGGCACATGGGATTATTCGATTATTTATATTTTTGTATCTTACCCACCTAGTCTTCTGTTGCAGGACCCTTGGTGCTCTCTGAGCTTGGTGGTTTTCTTGCAGACATTTGATTACCAAACTAGATAACGTCATCAGTGACAGAAGGGAGATACCCCCCCATTCCCTTCCAGCACTGATGATGTTACCTAATTGGGCAATGAAACATCTGCAAAAAAACCACCAAGCTCAGAGAGCACCAAAGAATCTGCAACAGAAGACTAGGAGGTTAAAGTTACCAAGGACCTCACAGTTCAACCCTGAGCTACTAATACAGGTAGTCGATTTACGGCCATAATTCAGCCCCAAATTTCTGTTGCTAAGCAAGACAGTTGTTAAGTGAATCACTGCAGTGGCTCAGTTTAGTAACATGGGTGTTCAGTAAATCTGGCTTCCCCAGTGATTTCGCTTATCAGAAAGTAGCAAAAGGGGATCATGTGACCCCGAGACACTGCAACTGTCATAAATATGAACCAACCAAGTGTGTGAATGTTGACCATGTGACCATGGGGATGCTGCAATAGTTGTAAGTATGAAAAACGGTTATGAGTCGTTTTTTTCAGGGATGTTGTCACTTTGAACAGTCACTAAATGAACTGTCAATTGAGGACTACCTGTAGGTAAAATTAGTCTCCTGATTTTAATCCCTGCCTTCATACTAATTCAGTGATGGCCTGGAGGCAGAAGTTACATCTCTCAGCTTGAGCACGATGCTTACCCTGGCTCACCATTTTCCTTCTACACCAGGGGTTCCCCCAACCCCCGGTCCGTGGACGGGCACCGGGGTGTGGCATGCCAGAAACCGGGTTGTGCAAACAAGCAAAGCCCCATCCGTGGGATGCAGGCAACACGTGAAACTACGCCCCCTCCGGTCCATGGAAAAACCTCCCCCCACGGAAACCGGTCCCTGGTGGCCAAAAGGTTGGGGGGGGAGGGGCTCTGTTCTACACGACAACGTCAATAAATGGTATTTGCAAGTCATCCTCCTATAGTTATGACCATCGTACTATGTTTGACATCCAGCTCACAATCATGATGGCTGTTGCACCTTTCAGTCACATGACTGCGACCTTCCCAGCCAGCTTCCGAAAAGCCAAGTCGATTGGGGAAGCCAGGTTTGCTTAATGACTGAGCGATTCCCTTAACAAGCAGATGATTCGCTTAACAACATGGTAAAAATGGTGGTAAAACCAGGTCTGGTCACGTGATCACTCGCTGAATGACATCGCATAGCAACCAAATCCCAATTGCACTCGTAAGTGGAGTATTGCTTTAATGAAACCCAAACATTTTTTGCTATTGGCTACTTAATTTCAAGGTTGCTTTTTGATAACTTGCAAGTCAAAAGAATTGTTTGGGGCACCGGGAAATGTTTCTGTCAAGGAGGCTATGAAGATTTCTGAATACAGGTGGTCCTCAATTTATAACCGTTCGTTTAGTGACCGTTCAAAGTTACAACAGCACCGAAAAAAGGGACTTAAGACCATTTTTCACACTTACGACCGTTGCAGCATCCCCATGGTCATGTGAACAAAATTCGGATGCTTGGCAACTCATAGTTATGACGGGTGCAGTGTCCCGGGGTCATGTGATCACGCTTTGTGACCTTCTGACAAGCAAAGTCAATGGGGAAGACAGATACACTTAACAACCGGGTTACTAATTTATAAGCTGTGGTAATTCACTTAACAACGGTGGCAAGAGAGATTGTAAAATGGGGCAACGCTCACTTAACAACAGGAATTTTGGGCTCAATTGTGGTTCTAAGTCGAGGACTGCCTGTACAGGTGCCCAAATACAATTTAAATACATACTCACAATTCTTATTTAGGCAGGAAATTTCCAACGTTTCTTCAATACCCAATTGCAACAGAACTCCAGTTCTGATGTAGAAGTAAAAAAATCTAAATTTTTCTCCAAGGAAAAAATTCCAAACTCATAGCATTGTTGCAAACTCCCAAATATTCCTATAGCCACATTCGTGCCAGGAATGGAGGACAAAGCAGCTAAATCTGATGGAAGCTTGCATAAACCACACTGTGAACATAACCTGGCTTAGAACATAACACTTTCTTGTTCTAACCAAAAAAAAAAAAAAAAGCAGTTTTGCAACAGTACAGAATTTTTTTCCCTGTAGGAAGAACAGAGAACTGAAAAACAGCGTCAAACCTCTTTGCTTATATTATTAACTTCTTTCTAAAGTTCAAATACCTTCAGGCTTGCAAAATCAGCAGATGATAGATCTATGGTGTTACTAGCCTCTTCAGTCTCTTCCTGAAAGAGATTTAAAAAAAAAAAAATCATCACATTTCCCGAAAAGCTCGACATTCTTTCACTAATGTCAGGCCCAGAAATCGGTCGCTCTCTCCTCGATCCATTATCCCCCCCCACAAACATGATTTGGTAGCCACCACACAAATCTGCTCACTTTCTCAAATAATAAATATATAAAATAAATGGAGCGGAAAAGAAATAAAACATGATGGGACAAAATGAGAACTGTCTTTTGATGGGGATGCTTCAATGGTTGATGCTGTCGTTTTCCTTTTGCATTCCTACCAGGTTTCAAACTGTCTGGGAATCAGAGATCCTAGGCCAGGCCAATCACGATTGCTGGAACTTACAGAATCCACCATCCTTAGTGAACGTGAGGCTGGAAACAGGATCTCTATCATTTTTATACAGGTTGGATTGCCGTTTATACAAGCCAAAAGCAACAAGGCAACACGCCAAACGCTCAAAAGCATGCCAACAGCTCAGAGACTTGAGTCGCGAAACACATCAGAAACACGCATGGAGATATCTGTTGGTTTGGCCTGATCTAGAAACGATAAGCCAAACACCACCAACAGGGATACACATCCCTGTGTATATACAGGAAGTCCTCGACTTAAAACAGTTAATTTAATGACCATTCAAAGTTACAACCAGCACTGGAAAAAGGTGACTTATGGCCATTTTTCATAGTTACGACCTTTGCGGCAACCACGTGATCGAAATTCCAACCCTTGGCAGACAGGTTCTCACTTACGACGGTTGCAGTGCCTTGGGGGTCATGTGTTCAGCATCTGCAACCTTCTGACAAGCAAAGCCAAGAGGGGAAGCCACGTTCACTTAACGACGGTGTTACTTAACTTCACGGCTGCCGTGATTCGCTTAACGAATGTGGCAAGGTGTACAATGGGGCAAAAATCCATTGAACCAACGTCTCGCTTAACAAGAGAAAATTGGGGCTCCATTGTGGTCGTTAAGTCGAGGACTGCCTGTCCTGGATTTTGGATCCTAAAGCCGAAACAGCACAGGCAGTCAAGCTTCCTCTTGCAGAAGCGGCATCTTTTCCCGAGTTCATCCAGTAGCCTAACCTCAGGCAACCTTCTTACCGATTCACCAAGAGGTGTGGCGCACCCAGCCACCCACATGCCAAAATCTGTCTCAAAGGTGCTTCCCCACCCCCCCCAAGAGGCAACTGGACTTTCTGGTTTTTCTTTTGCTTCTCATTCAAGAAGCTTCTTCAGCTCTGCGTGAAAAAGCACCTTGGAGACAACCATGATCTGGATGACTGAGAATCTCACTAAATGTCTCCATAAATGGCACAACAGAGGAGAAAAAACCCATCAGGCCTAGATCCAGCAGTCCGTCTGCATTTAAAAGATTAAAGTCCATTATTTTGAAAACAACTAAGTCCACATTTCAGACAGAGAGGACAGCTGGTTTGAAAGAGGAGTCAAAGGAGCCATCTATGTCAAAATTGAACAGCCCTCTCTCAACGGAGGGGGAGGGATACGACATCATCTATCTCCAGTCTACAACACAGTCCTTTCAGCAGTTCCAAGGAGGCTCCACACCCATTTGCACCACTCAGGTGACCCTGAGGACATAGATTAAACCTCCAAGTGGCCTCAACGACTCTCTAAAAGGATGCAAGTGTCCAGCTGTCTGCAAGGAATACAAATCCTTCCATTCCCCACCATCCAGTCAGAGCTGAAAAAGCTTCTTGGCTGAGAAGCGAAACGTCTTCAAAGAAAAAAAACAAGAAAGTCCAGTTGCCTCTTGAAAAAAGCATCCTTGGGAGAATCTCCATCGACTCCGAAATCTGTTGGTGGCTTCAGCTCTGAAGCGCAGTCCAGCCCTACGTAACGCCCCTTGATTGTGAAAATATCTTAAGCAAATTGCTGCTTGCCTTCTGCTTGCTAACCTGGAGCGGGAAGGCGGGAGAGCCGAGTTGGAAAAGAACGCACCTAACTGCAGCCCTTCGTATCCAACGTCAAGAGAGATTTATTAACTTGCAACAACAGGGCCTCGGGGACTTGTTCCCGCCCAGCGTGTTTGATGGCCCAGCTATCCGTGGAAGTCTTCTCCATGAAGTGGGCCCCTATTTTTTTACATCTGCCCAGAGGACAAGATTGCATGCAGGTACGCCTCGACTTAAAACCGTTCACTTGGTAACTGTTCAGTTACAGCGGTGCTTAAAAAAGGGCCTTGGGACCGTTGCGTGGCAGCATTCCCCCAAGGTCACATGATCAAAACTCAAAAGACGCTTAGCAACTGACTCGTATTTATGACCCATGGCAGCGTCCCGGGGTCATGTGATCCCCTTTTGAGACCTTCTGACTGGCGAAGTCAAAGGGGAAGCCAGATTCACTTAACCACGTGACTGACTCAACCCCTGCGGCGATTCGCTTCCCAACTGTGGCGAGAAAGGTCGCCAAATTGGGGCAAAACTCACTTAGCAAATGTCTCCCTTAGCAACATACGTTGGAGGCTCAATTGTGGTTGTAAGTCGAGGACTGCCTGTATAAGGAGCTGAAGGAAGAAAGGAGAATCGGGGCATTATCTGTTAGCCCAGGACAGCCAGTGTCTCTTAACAGACGTTCATTTTGGTGCATTTTCAAGCTTTCTGACTAAGGCAGTATTTCTCAACATTGGAGACTTTAGGACCGTGATGGTGAACCTATGGGCACGCGAGCATTTCCCTAGCTCAGCTCCAGCGCACATGCATGTGCCGGCCAGCTGATTTTCAGGCCTTTCGGTCCCACTGGAAGTTGGAAAACGGGCCGTTTCCGGCTTCTGGAGGGCCTCTGGGGGGTGGGGGGGAGAAGCCATTTTCGCCCTCCCCAGGCTCCAAGAAAGCCTCTGGAGCCTGGGGAGGGAGAAAAATGGGCTACCGGACTACTGGAGCACTGGGGTGGGGGGGCATTGAATTATGGGTGTGAGCACATGCGTGCGACTCCCCCCCCCCCTGCAATTTGGCACACAATGGCAAAAAGGTTAGACATCACTGCTTTAGCATGTGCGGACTTCAACTCCCAAAGCATGGCTGGCTGGGGAATTCTAGGAGTTGAAGTCCCCACGTCCTAAAGCTACCACGGTTGACAAACACTGAACTGAGGAAACTAAGATAGGGGAGAACCAGGGAAGATTTGAGGCTTTGGATTTTTTTATTTTTTATTTTTTTGCTTTAGGCCTGGGGATGGCTGTGGCTTTTAGAAAAGGGAGAAGGCTAAGCTTGAAAGCAGGAAAAGTCCTGTTTCAACTGAGACGGGACTCAAGTCTTCGTGAGACACCCTGCTTTGTCACAATTGAGTCCTGTGCTTCTATCACAGGATCAAAAGAACACTAGGGGGGGGAAAAAGAACATTCTCATAAATTATCCAGAATGCACAACAGTCCTCATAAAGCTTCCAATTCCCGAATTGTCCAGAAGGCAAGTTTAAAATTCAGGGCTTCAGAAGTCAGCCCAAGTGGGTTTTTCATCAAAATAAAAGTTGGAGGTTATGCTAAAGCGTGATTTGCTTCATCCTTTTTGTGCACTGAATAAAACTATTGGCTAGATTCACACCTAAGTCAAACCTAAATAATTCTTTTCATTGGCAGGGATGGAGGTTTGCAAAGAGGAATTTAAAATCCATTCCACCCTACCCATGACACAAATTTGCATTCAACAGTTCAGGCTGGCTCTTGATCCTTCCCTGCCCCACAATTTCAATCTAGTTAAAAGGCTACAGTCACAGAATTGAACATCCCAATTGCAGGTAGTCCTCAATTTACAACCATTCGTTTAGCAAACCAAAGTTACGATACCGAAAACCGTGATTTACAACTGATTCTCACATGTAATGAGCACAACATCCCCACATGATTAAAATTCGAATACTTGGCAACCGGCATGCATTTTTGATGGTGGGATCATGGGATCACCATTTGTGACCTTCACAGCCATCTTCCAAAAAATAAAGTCAGTGGGGGAGGCCAAATTTGCCTAATGACGGCATGATTCATTTAACAACCAAGGCAAAAGGGTCGTAAAATTGGGCGCCAGTCACTTAACAACCGGCTGGGCTTAGCAATGGAAATTCTGCTCTCAAGTATGGTGGTAAATCGAGGACTACCTGTAAAACAAACATACAGATAGTCCTTGACTTACAATCACAACTGAGCCCAAAATTTGTTGTTAAGTGAGACATTTGTCAAATGAGTTTTGTTCCATTTTACGACCTTTCTTGCCATAGTTGTTAAGTGAATCACTACAGTTGATAAAGTTAATAACCTCTGTTGCTAAGTGAATCTCGCTTCCCCATTGACTTTGCTGGCCAGAAGGTCGCAAAAGGTGATCATATGACCACGGGACGTTGCAACGGTCATAAGTATGTTGCCAAGTGTCTGAACTTTTATCATACAATCATGGGGATGTTGCAAAGTTTGTAACTGTGAAAAATGGTCACAAGTCACTTTTTTCAGTGCCGTTGTAACTTTGAACGGTCACTAAACGAACTGTTGCAAGTCAAGGACTCCCGGTACTTTAGAATCTGTTCACAAATCATTTGCAAAAAAAGCACGTTTAGTAACTGAACTTTCACTCACGTATTATTTTGCCACCACCATTCCAAACCAAAACATTTATTAGTTTTTGAAAACACAACTAATATGGTTGCAAGACCAAGATTTCCCTTCCACTGACTCACGAGTCGCGGCAGTGAGCTAAGCATCCCTATCCACCTTCTTCTACACACATGAAAATGAGTGAATGGAAACACACACAGGGGAGGGGACACGCATGCACGCAGCATTTCATTAATAAAACTTTCTGGGGCTTCTAAACAAAGCATGCACTGAAAAACTAGAAGGGGCAAACAAGAATGCCATGGCTATGGATTCATACACACACACACAGACACGTAAAGGTGGAGGGGATAAGAAGGGAGCTTATTTTTTCAATCCTGGGTCATTTACGTCCTTTCAAGGGGAGGGGAGGAAGAAAACGGAAAAATAAAAAATGAAACGTTTAAAAGGATGGCGAATAAATCTGCTCCCAAAGAAGGTGCATACCATGGCTACTGGTATTTCTCTGGATTCTTCTGGCATGTCTGTTAAGGATAGGGCTGCCTCCATGTTAGCCAGAGCACCTCCTGTCAGCTGCTCTGGAAGTCCTCGCCTTTCTGCATCAGCACTCTCCTTACTGTCAAAGAGGGAGTCAAGTCTACTATCAGCACTGCTATCCTCTCGGCAGTCTACACCACTGCTGTTATCTATGACTGCTTCATCTAACACACTAATATCCATCATGTCAATATCCTGCAAGTTATCCAAACTTGCATCAATATCCTCCTGCAAAAAGAAAAAAAAAAGCCACATATATAATAGTTGCTGGGGTTCCGACGTAGAAGTCTTACGGGGCATCTGGTAGCCTACGTTTGTTCGCAGTACCTGTCCATCTCCGGATTCGTCTTCAAGGCCGTTGTCCTCTACTTCTTCTTCCTCAAGCCTCCGCCCTAAAAAGAACAGAATCCTTGAGCAAACACACACACACACAATTCATTCTATCTATCTATCTATCTATCTATCTATCTATCTATCTATCTATCTATCATCTACCTACCTACCTACCTACATACTTTATCTATCTACCTACCTACCATCCATCCATCTATCTACTGTATCTATCTACAAGTAGTCCTCAACTTACAACAGTTCATTTAGTTACCGTTCAAAGTTACAACATGTCAGAGTGTTTACAGCGTGACTACAACCCAGGAGCAAAATACAGTACACAGAGGTCTTTCAAACTGTGGTTCATATACAAGACATACATACATACATACATACATACATACATACACACACACACACACACACACACACACACGTGCTAAGCAAAGCCAGGCAATCAATCAGTTTTCTTCAACTCTACACAGAGGATTACAATGCATATACACGCGACAAGGAGTGTGATACACAAGGAGAGAGAGATGTCCTCAAATGGCCTCCCTTATATAGGCAGCTTCTTAAAGGGCAATAACCCTGATGACTCATCCTCAGTCTTAAAGGGCTGGTCATCTTTAAATCATTACCCTGACACTCCTCCCATTTCAAGGTGAACAGCTGAATGCTTTACCATATTCAGGATGCTCTGTTTCCATTATGGACTTGCCTCCAGCTTCAGTTCCTACTCTCATTGCTACACACGCTACGAGTACATTTACTACTATAACTGCTGGAACGACCCATGACTCTGTACACTCTGTCTCATTAATCTCTATTACATCCTGTTTACCATCTCTTGGCTCGATACTGTTACTTTCTCTCTTCAGTTTCCTCAGTTTGGTTTATCTGCCTGCCTGTCATTCTCTTTAACTTTGGCTTCCTCCATTTATCTCGTTGTATCTTAGGCAATGACCTTGGACAATATCTCTTGGTAATTATGGGGTTCATTCCTAACACTATCTACTCTAACCTCACTTGCAGTGAACCATTCAAGAGTTAACCCTTTATTATACCCTTCAGGTCTCCTATGTATACCTCTGTTTGCCTTGGGTTTTTCTTACTTGCAGGATACACCCTGTATTTTTCCTCCTTAGGAACAGCGCACTCTACATACCTTTGATTAACCAATTTAACCCTTCACCTTTATCTATTTCCTTGCATACCTTTACTGCTTCTTTTTGGCACTTTCTTGGGGATTATTTCAGACACCACTGGAATCTCATCAGGGTGTCCTCCTTCTTCCTCAATAGCCTGTTAGAAAGAGACAAAGTCAGCATGGTAAACAGACAGTATTGAATTTGGCAAAAATACCACAGGGTTTCCATTCATGATGGCCATTGACTTAGAATAGAATAGAACCCTTTATTGGCCAAGTGTGATTGGACACACAAGAAATTTCACTCCAGTGCATAAGTGTACATACAAGTAAAAGAGACAAATCCTGATCATAATCATAAAATACAATCATCATAAACTATAAGATACAACACTCAGTGATAGTCATAGGATACTAAATAAAAGCAATCAGTGTAAGTCATAAGATACAAAGAACAAAGTGATAGTCATAAGATGGTAAAGGTAATAGGAAAGATGAGTAGGATAATAGTAATACAACCTTACTATGTAGGCCCTAGGTTGTCAAAATTGATTTCATTGAGGGCTACCTCAGGGATGTGTTCGATCTTGGGGGGCCAGGATGGGCGTGGCCAGCTTGACGTCACTCATGTTGGGGGCACCTGTGGTGGCCCGAGCGTTCTGCCAGCAAAAACAGGCTCCCGAGCTCTGTTTTCAGCTGCAATGGCCTCCTGCAACCCTCTGCCAGCAAAAACGGAGCTCGGGAGGGCCGCACACAGCCCTCCTGAGCTCCGTTTTCGCTAGCAGAGGGACTGCAGGCCGGTCCTTTGCTGTTTGCAGGGTAGCCCCACGGGCCAGATCTAAGCACCCCATGGACCAGATCTGGCCCCCGGGCCTTGAGTTTGACACCCCTGACCTAGGGCATAAGACAAGTGTTGTGGGAATTTTATCTCATGTCATATGGACAGAAGGAAAACAGGGAATGGCACTAAAGTGTGGCCTCTAAGTTCATAGAGAAAAGCCTGCATGACATTTTCGGCTGAGGGACATGCACAGCTGTTGTTGATTTGCAAAAGAGAAAGTTGGGACTAAGATAGACTTCTGGCCTAACCCAACATGGCTCAGACTACAGGTAGTCCTCAACTTATGACCTACAGTTGAGGCCAAAATTTATGTTGGTAAGTGAGACATTAAGTGAGTTTTGTCCCACTTTATGACCTTTCTTGCCACCTTTCTTAAGGTAATCACTGAACCTGTTAAGTGAGTTACACGGTTCCTAAGCGAATCTGGCTTCCCCATTGACTTTGCTTGTCGGAAGGTCGCAAAAGGGTGATCCCATGACCCTGGGAGACTGCAACCGTCATTAATGTGAGTCAGCTGTCAAGCATCCGAATGTAAATCACGTGACCATAGGGATGCTGCAACGGTGGTCATAAGTCACTTTTTTCAGTACCTTTGTAACTATACAGTCACTAAAAGAACTGTTGTTTAAGTCGAGGGCTGCCTGTATTTCTATTTATTTGCTTCCTAGAGGCAGCTCTCCCTTCTACCTAGGGAGGCAAACAAGCCTACATCTCTAGCACCAAGCATGACAAGAACCGTTCGGCTGCATCAGGCCAGCTGGTACTTCCTCAGGCTAGAGAGCCTGATGCCTGCAGGCAAGCAGCAGATAGAGACATTTCCCTAGTTCCCTTTCAATGCTCTGCAACTGGCATAGAGACACATTCTCAGCCCAGAGGTAATACTGAACCTTGAAGACGAATACCCTGATATATAGGTAATCCTCATCTTACAACAGTTTATTTAGTGACCGCTCAAAGTTACGAAGGGACTTATGACCATTTTTCACATACGACTTTTGCAGCATCCCTATGATCAAAATGCAGATGCTTGGCATCTGGCTCATACTTATGACCGTTGCTGTGTCCCTGTCAATCCTGAAGCCATTTCTCGAGCATCTTCAGGGCTGCCACAGCTACACTGTTTGGAGCTGTGGGAACAGGAAGGGGGGGAATATAGATAGCTGGGGACTTGTACCCAAAATAAAATTCTTTCTCCTGGGAGAACTTTTGACTTTTAATTTGGATAGGACCTTTAGATGTGCCAATATGACATGCCTAATAAATCTGTACTTTGAGGAACTCCTAGGCCTCAGAGTTTTGATTGTGTTGGGTCTGTTACTTGGAACCTTGACATTCCCAAGGTCATGTGATTACCTTTTCCAAAATCAGTGCAGAAGCCAGATTCACTCAACAATTATGTTACCAACTTATCAACTGCAGTGATTCACTTAACAACTGTGGCAAGAGAAGTCGTAAAATGGGACAAAACTGACAACAAATGTCTCACTTAGAAACAGGAATATTGGGCTCATTTGTTTTTCATAAGTCGAGGACTACCTGTACTGTCCTCTCTTCCAGAAATGTATCCAATCCACTTTTCAAGCTATACTCTGTGAGTAGCTATCATCATAATCCACAATAATAAACTCCACAGATAAATTGTACAAATGAGTCTAGGTTAAATCTTTTCTCAATCTTTTGCATGATTTTAAACACCTCAATCATTTCCTTTCTTCTACCCAACCAAGCTAAAGTATTCTAAATCTTTTATTATAGATGGAAAAGCCTGAGCCCATAATTTTTCTGGCTATTCTGGTCACATGTTCTCCAGTTATATAATTTTTCAAGCACAGCAACCAAAACCACACAGTATTCAACATATAAACCCTCCACACACGAGGATGGTGACATTTTAAATTCTCTGAATAGAATAGAATAGAATAACAGAGTTGGAAGGGACCTTGGAGGTCTTCTAGTCCAACCCCCAGCTGAAGCAGGAAACCCTACACCACTTCAGACAAATGATTATCCAACATCTTCTTTAAAACCTTCAGTGTTGGAGCATTTACAACTTCTGGATGCAAATTGTTCCCACTGATTAATTGTTCTCACTGTCAGAAAATTTCTCCTTAGTTCTAAGTTGCTTCTCTCCATGATTAGTTTCCACCCATTGCTTCTTGTCCTGCCCTCAAGTGCTTTGGATAATAGCTTGACTCCCTCTTCTTTGGGGCAGCCTCTGAGATATTGGAAGGCTGCTATCATGTCACCTCTAGTCCTTCTTTTCATTACACCAGACATACCCAGGTTCCTGCAACCGTACATCCTATGTTTTAGCCTCCAGTCCCCTAATCATTTTTGTTCTTTCCTAATAACTATATTCTTAGCTATAAACCTTTTCCTAATGAGAGATACCTTAGACCTCTTCAATATATATAGGTGGTCCTCAATTTACAACCTCAATTGAGCCCAAAATTTCCACCCTTTCTGGGTTCGGACTGGCAGCGGTGGGGAGGGTATGATGATGGTTTCATTTGCGCATCCTAGCTCCAGTGCCAGTGCAAATGAAGCTTCACATTTGCCCGCCGCTTATGCAGCCCAGTTCCCAACAGGCCACAGATCAGGACCAGTTCACAGTCCAGGAGTTGAGGACCACTATTTTAAAGCATGGATGTCCAACCTTTTGTCTTGCTTGGGCCGCACTGAGTGAGGAGGAATTGTCTTAGGATGCATATCTATTTTTTTTTCTATTTTTTATAAATACCTTGTGGGGTCACATTATTTGCCACATGCGACCCATGAACTGCAGGTTGGACATGCCTGTTTTAAAGACTGATTTATTATGGCATTTTTTTCCCTGCTGATTCTTATCTACAAGATCAATATTCAGATGTCAAACAAGAGAATGGAAAGAATCCTGAAAAAGATTTCATTTGAGAATTTTTTCCCTGACCTACCACGGTTTTAAGATTATTACTATATTGTTCATTATCGGAATCTGTCAAGTTACAAATCTTCAAATAAAAAGGATAGGAAGAAAAATGTAAGCACCAGGTGATATTTCAAATGTTACACTGCTTATTTCCCACAATTGCTACTAGGTTTCAGCTACCACAAACTAGAAAAGCTAACAGGCCACTGTTCAAGGGTCACTTTTTTTGTTTTTGCTGCGACTGCAGCAATTGAAAAGAGGTAGTCGAGGAGAATCAAAACATAATGTAGCCAAATGCAAGAAATAGAATTGTTATAATTCAACCAGCAGCCAGAATCATATCACCCATTAACCATTAATATAGGTGTGTCCAACCTTGGCAACTTTTTAAGACTTGTGGACTTCAACTCCCAGAATTCCCTAGCCAACGTTGGCTGGGGAATTCTGGGAGTTGAAGTCCACAAGTCTTACAGCTGCCAAGGTTGAACACACCTGCCATAATATGATTTCCTTACTTTTGTTACAGAATGTTAGGTGTATACAGCCACTTTAGTTGAAGCAGGGAGCAGACATTAGCTGAGTCTCCCCACCAAAAGCTAAGTAGGATCGACCTTCTTAGTGCTTGGATGGGAGACCACCAGGAAAGCCCAAAGCTGCCAATTAGAAAGGAAAACCAGAAGAAAAAAAAAAACACACACACACACACACAGGCAGCGGCAATATCAAAGGCCTCCTGTCCTGTACTCTTTGTTAAGAAGACTACACAGACTGCCTCTCCCTGAGATCCAGCTGGATTTGAATCTTTCCCTCTCCAGAAACCATAATACGTTGGGAGACTTATGTAGCTCCCTTAGCTGTCAGAATAATAGAGTTGGAAGGGACCTTGGAGGTCTTCTAGTCCAACCTCCCTCCCTCAACCAGGAGACTCTATATATCATCTCAGATCCTGTAAATGGCTTCTTAAAAACCTTTAGTGATGGAGCACCCACAAATGCTGAAGGCAAGCCATCATACATTGGGGTTATTAATCGTTTTGAAAACGTACCTTGAACTGGGCTTCCATTCCATTTGTTAAAAGATAAATATTTCAGTTACACCACCATACATTGCTGGCATAATTCCCCTGAAAATAGTTACAGTTACCAGGCAATTCTCAGGAACTGATGAGGATTCAAGCAGCAGCCTCGAGTTTCGCAGGAATCCCTCAATGCGCGGTTCCGAGGGCGACTCTTCAGTTTTTATAGAGTCTACGTTTCGCCAAATCCCGGAGGCGAAAGTTGCGCTGCGGCGCATGCGCAGGGGATTTAACCCCTTCGGCCCCGCCAACCCTACCCGAGAAGGCTCCGCGCTCTTCTTACCTTTCGGAGCCGCTCGAGAAGGACGCTCTTGTTGCCTCCCGTGTCCAGGTTGCGCTGCTTCAGCTCGGCCCTCAGATCGATCACCCTCAGGTCGCTCAGGCGCCTCCGGGTCATCCCGCCTCCGAAGCTTTCCGAGTCGCCACCGCTGAGGGAAACCGTCGCTTCTGCGGCGAGCCCGGCCTGATTCTCCGCCGCCATAAGGGAAGACAGGCTTCTCGCGCAAAATTTTGGCTCTCAAAAAAAAAAAAAGAAATACCGAATGAAGCCCCACCCCCCGAAAAAAATTTTTTTTTTAAAAAAAAAACAAATTTCTGTAAACGGTAACGTCTATGAGGGGCGCGCGAGCGCTCCCGGCACGCATAAAATGGCGGGCGAGCTTGCTCTTTCTGCGCACGCGCAGGACTGGCCTGGTGAAGGATCGCTGCGCATGTGCGTTCTGCTTTTAACACGGCCCTAATTGGGAAAAGAGGCGGGCGGGGGCGCGCGAGACGTGGGGGGGAACGGCGGAAGAAAAAGCGGAGAAACGAAAGAGAGCCTGGGAGCGCATGCGCCTTGAGCATTAGCTTGGCCCGACTTGGAGGCGACTAAATATAGGGAGCCGAGAACGCGTCTATGTGCGCGTGCGCGTGCGCGCGTTTTTTTTTCTCTCCCATGTCCTTGCCTGAATAGGGAATGGTGCTGACTAAAAATAGAATTTTAAAAATGCGCAAATAGCCTTCTTTTCTCTAGACTAGCCAGATTCAAAATCCTGCAACCGTTCTTCATGTGATTTAGTCTCCAGGCCCTTAAATCATAGTTTGCTATTTTTTGCACTTTTTCCAAACTTTCAACATCTTTTTTTGTAATGTGACCAAAACTGGATATAGTATTCCAGGTGTGGCCTTACGAAGGCTTTATAAAGCGGTATTAATAATTTTGATTTTGATTCTATGTCTCTGCTTATGCAACCAAGGATTGTATTAGCTTTTTTGGTTGCTGCCACACGCTGCTGACTCACGTTAAAAATTTAAATGATCGTCCACTAGGAATCCAAGGTCCTGTAGGAAGTTAGCACCCACCCCTCTCCTAGGAAAATGAGATATTTTAGGAAATATTAAAAGGGCAGAATATTTCCCCTAAACGGGAGGCAGAAACTCACCCCACCCCCCATCTTTGTCAATAGCAGAGCCTTAATAGGAATTGCCCAAAACCTTTTCATTACATCATCACCCAGCAAGGCTCAACCAAGCCTGGGACACAGACAGCTTACAAAGTTGACCATGGGAGTCTGATAACCAATCAGAATACAAGCTCAAATTCAAAGCCTAACAGAGGGCATAAAACCCAGGCACTCTCAGCATCTCTGCCCTTTTTCTGCTCAGGAACTCAAGCCATGTGATCCTGTTCATCAATAAGCCTTCTTTCCAAGCAACTTCCATGAATCCAGTGTCTTTTCCCCCACTTGGAACTGAACCCAGAAGGATATTTCTTCCAACAGTCCCTCTCACAGTTACTGTTTTTGAGCCAGGTTTTGCCTTGTACCTTCAGTTTTTCCTGCCCAGGTATAAAATCTTGCTTTTTTCCACACGAATATGTTGCCATTTAAGACTTTTTTCCCCCTTGCAATTAAAACTGATGGGGGCAGGAGAAGGGGGTCTGTCTGAATGCAGGTAGTCCTTGACTTACAACATTCATTTAGTGACCGTTCAAAGCTACAACAGTGACTTATGACTGTTTTTCACACGACCATTATAGTATCCCTGTGGTCACATGGTCAAAATTTGGACACTTGGCAACTGGCATGTATTTACGACAGTTGCAGTGTCCCAGGACAATGGAATCCCCTTTTGACAAGCAAAGTCAATAGGGAAACCAGATTCATTTAACAACCGGTTACTAACTTAACAACTGCAGTGATTCACATAACTGTGACAAGACAGGTCATAAAATGGGGCAAAATTCACTTACCTGACTTGTTTAGCAATGGAAATGTTGGCTCCATTGTAGTCATAAATCGAGGACTACCTGTAACTTTTCAGTAACAAGGAGCAGCTTTGATTAATGTTTCTAGTTTATTTGAAGCAACAAAGCAAGAATCTGATTTCTGATAAGAACCACTTCAAAACAGCCAGACATGAGAAATGCCCTAAAAGTTTAACTTTAATAACCTGAAAAATCATTATGTGGGAAACACACTTCCTGAATATGCAATTAGGCATTAACAGATCATGCTAAGAATATTGTGGGATGCTCTGAACGTTTACATGGTATATGAATAGTTGCTAAGCATGCTCTATAGATGTTTGATGACTCAAATGAAGCTGGCCAATTGATCAACACATTCCAAACCCGATATGTTTGAGCTCTCTCATTATTAATAATATAAAGTGATTTTTCTCACCTTGTACCTGTGGGAGACCTCAGATAGCATTTAGCACTATAGCAATAGCACTTGAAGCAGTCTACCCGTTCAGAGTGCTTTACGGCCCTTTCTCTAAGCAGTTTACAGAGTCAGCATATTTTCCCCAACAATCTGGGTCCTCATTTTACCGACCTCAAGGCTGAGTCAACCTTGAGCTGGTCAGGATTGAATTCCAGGCAGTGGGCAGAGTCACCCTGCAATACTGTATTCTAAGCACTGTGCCACCATGGCTGAATGATAGATGGGTGGGTGGATGGCTGGATAGGGAATGGAGATTTTACAGTATCCTTCCCCGTTGACGCCCACCAAGCCACGCCCACAGAACCACTGGTAAAAAAAATTTGACATGGAACAACCATGACCTGGATGACTGAGAATCTCCAGATATTTAAACAAATAAAGTAGAAAAAGCCTTAGGAAATTCGAAATCCTAGCACTCCAAAGTTCAGGTAGTCCTTGACTTATGACCACAATTGAGCTCATTATTTCAACTGGGAGCTGAGACAGTTAAGTGCGTTTTGCCTCATTTTGCAACCTTTCTGACTGCAGTTGTTAAGTAAATCTGGCATCCCCAAAGACTTTGCTCATCAGAAAGTCGCAAAAGGGATCACACGACCCCAGGACACTGTCTGCAACCGTCATAAATATGAATCAGTCACCAAGCATCCAAATGTAAATCACATGACCATGGGGGGGGGGAATGTTGCAACAGCCTAAGTGTGAAAAATAGTCATAAGTCACTTTTTTCAGTGCCGTTGTAACTGAGCGGTCACTAAATGAAAAATCCCCACCGCAAGAAACGTGGAGGTTCAGTGAGTCCCTTGAATTCAATGTTTCTTGAAACTTGGCAACTTTAAAGCACGTGGACTTCAACTCCCAGAATTCCCCAGCCAGGATGGGGAAACTCTGCTCTTAACTCGCTTAGCTCTATAGTTAAAGCGGGTGGAAGGGACGCTGGGTTCTCGCTTGCGCGTGCGCGCCGAGTTCCGCGCGCTCCCTCCCTCCCTCGCTCCTGTGCGCGCACTCTTCCCGACTCCGCGAGGCCAGAGAGTTTCGGCCTGCCGCGCGTGCGCAGGCTGTTCCTCTTCCTCTTCAGTCATCTCTTCCTCCCCCTCCCTCCCTTCCTTCCGCGCAGGCGCAGCTTGAGCGCCCCTCTCCCGAGGCCGTGCTTGTCTCTCGGTGTTAGGCCTTCCCGCCATTTTGTCTGAGGGGGAGAAAGAACCGGGCCGTAGAGGGGGGGGGCGGGTGGGGGGGGGGGGGAAAAAAAAAACAAAAAACAAGGGAAGCCGTATAGTTTTGTTGTTGTTTTTTTTGCTCCGGCGCCGTGATTATTGCCCCGCGATTTGTTTCGGTCGCTTCATGTGAGGAAAAGCGGCGCCTGGAAGCTCTCGCGGATGGCGGAGGAAGCGCAAGGGCCGGCCGGGCCCGTTGGTGAAGACGAGGCGGCGGTGGCGGCGGCAACAACAGCGGCGGGGCTGGCGGCTCCTTCAGCGGGCGGCTCCGGGACGACCCCCGCCGCGTCCTCGACCCCTCGGCGGCGCCTGAGCGACCTGCGGGTGATCGACCTCCGGGCCGAGCTGAAGCGCCGCAACCTGGACACGGGCGGCAACAAGAGCGTCCTCCTCGAGCGGCTGCAAAGCGTGAGCTTCTCGGCCGCCGCGCGGGAAAGGAGCGGGGGAAGCTCGGGGCCGAGGACTACAAGGCCCATCCCGGCAGCGTCGTGAAGTGGGGGTTCGCTAGAGGCAGCCTTCCAGGGATTACAACTCCCATCAGCCAGCCTTGGGGATGATGGGGGTTGAAGTGCTGTCTCTGTGGAGGCAGCCTTCCAGGGATTACAATTCCCGTCAAGCAGCCTTGGGGATGATGGGAGTTGAAGTGATGTGGAGGCAGCCTTCCAGGGATTACAACTCCCATCAACCAGATTTGGGGATGATGGGGGTTGAAGTGCTGTCTGTGGAGGCAGCCTTCCAGGATTACAACTCCCATCAACCAGCCTTGGGGATGATGGGGGTTGAAGTGCTGTCTGTGGAGGCAGCCTTCCAGGGATTACAACTCCCATCAACCAGATTTGGGGATGATGGGGGTTGAAGTGCTGTCTGTGGAGGCAGCCTTCCAGGGATTACAACTCCCATCAACCAGCCTTGGGGATGATGGGGGTTGAAGTGCTGTCTGTGGAGGCAGCCTTCCAGGGATTACAACTCCCATCAAGCAGCCTTGGGGATGATGGGGGTTGAAGTGCTGTGGAGGCAGCCTTCCAGGGATTACAACTCTCATCAGTCAGATTTTGGGGATGATGGGGATTGAAGTGCTGTCTCTGTTGGAGGCAGCCTTCAAGGGATTACAACTCCCATCAGCCAGCCTTGGGGATGATGGGGGTTGAAATGCTGAGTGGAGGGAGGAAGGATTTAAGGCAGCATTCCACAGATTACAGGTCCCATCAGCCAGCCTTGGGGATGATGGGGGGCGGGTTGAAGTGTTACCTCTGGGCAGCATAATTTAAGGCAGCCTTCCAGGGATTACAACTCACATCAGATGGCCTTGGGGATGATGGGGATTGAAGTGCTATGTCTCTAGGGGGCAGGATTTAAGGCAGCTTTCCATAGAATACAACTCCCATCAGCCAGCCTTGGGGGGGGGGAGGGGGATAGAAATTGAGACAAGCACTAGAAAGAAGGATTTAAAGTAGCTTTCCAGACATGACAGATTACAGTTCCCATGTACCAGTTAGGAGGAGGATGGGAACTGAAGCCCCGTCTCACCGGAGGGAAGGGGACTCAGGCAGCCTCACAGCAATTGGTGGCCCTCCACAACTCCCATTTTCTATGGAGATAGCAGTCATCCAGGTCATGGTTGTCCCAAAGGTATCTTTGGTACAACTTCCATTATTAGCCACTTTTCTGAGGTTGAGCTCATTCTCTCTGGAGGGCAGCATTCAAGGCAGCCTTGCCCCAACTTGCTGGTCTTCCAGAGATGACAGATTGC